CCCACCCCAACCCTCCCTCCAGCCCCGCAAACCCTCTCCCCTCCCTTCTCCGACCTCCCACCCCCAAACTCGTCCCCTCCCTCCCTCTCTCTCCCGCCTCCCCGCTCCCCTCCCCGTCCCTTTCCCACTCCCCCCCTCCCTCTCCCCGAGCCGCCTCCCCTCCCTCTCCCCCTCCCTCTCCCCGGGGCGGGGCGGGCGGCTCCGCGGGCGCGGGGTGGGCTCGGCTCGGGCTCGGGCTCGGCTCGGGTGGGCTCAGCTCTGTCAGGCTCGGCTCGGGTGGGCTCGGCACGGCTCAGCCCGGCCCGGCACGGCCCGCCTGCATGCGGCGGCGGCGGGGCTGCCGGGCGGGATGAGCGGCTCGGGAATGCCGGCGGGGATGAGCGGCTCGGGAATGCCGGCGGGGATGAACGGCTCCTCGGCGGGGATCCCGGGAGCTCTGCCCGGCCCCGGGGGGTTCCCGGGAGGACCGAACGGCTCCTCGTCGGCGGCGGGGCTGCTGGCGGGGGCCGGGGGAGCGGCGCTGGAGCTGGAGCGGGCGCTGCGCTGCTGCACCGCCGCCTCCGTGGTGACCGACGGCAGCGGCGCGGCCGAGGAGCGCAGCCTGTACATCATGCGGGTCGTGCAGATCGCCGTCATGTGCGTCCTCGCCCTCACCGTCGTCTTCGGCATCTTCTTCCTCGGCTGCAACCTGCTCATCAAGTCCGAGGGGATGATCAACTTCCTGGTGAAGGACCGCCGGCCGTCCAAGGAGGTGGAGGCGGTGGTGGTGGGACCCTACTGACCGCCCGGGCCCCCCGGGACAGCGCCCGGCCCCGCCGCGGACACATCTCCGCCTGGCCTCGGAGCTTCTTTCCTCCTTAAAAACCGTCCCACGGACGATTCCCGGGATCCCGGAGGCCCCCGGAGCCGCCCGGCCCGTCCCGTCCGCCCGCGGGCTGCCAAGTAAAACGTGCTCTCATGGCAACAGGTCTGGGGGTCCTTATTCCGTCCGCCTTTATCCGTCCGTCTGTCCCTCCCTGCGGGTCCCGGGGTGCCGCGGAGGGGCGCGGGGGGCGGCCGGGATGCACCGGGATGAACCCTTCCCTCTCCTGAACCCTTCCCTCTCCCGAACCCTTCCCTCTCCCGAACCCTTCCCTC